AGCTATGTTACCGGCAGCGAAGTCAAACATACCTATCATGATGTCAACTGCTTCTGATTTAACAGATATTGCTCGAACCCGTTCCTTTAAACCCCAATGGAAGAGGATTTTGGTTAAATTAGGCGGCATCCGTACTCCACGTTGGTGCTTGGTTCCGATATAAGGTTGATTCAAACAGCGCAGTGCGTGAACGCTGACCTGGGGACCCGTTACGTTGTGTTTCATTTCTATTACGGTCACTCTATGGCCAATCCTCCGCAGTGCGATCGCGCAAGAGAGGCCGGCCACTCCTGCGCCTACCACAACGAAATGGAGTTGGATTTTCATTCCAAATTCTTTCGAAATTGCAAGTCTATCTAGGCACTGTTTGTCGTCGGTGAGCAAGGAACTTCTCAGAATCGCATGCGACTCACGCGTTCGATGGATATGAAAATCAAAAGACTGGAATCACTGAGACGACGAAGGTAAAGAGCAGACTGTCACGGTGTGCCGCCTTGCCGCCGCCACTTCTATAGAATCAAAGTCCGCATCGAGGGGGCGGCGTCCTCCGTATGATGTGCCAACCTGCGTACTCGATACTGCCATGTTCGGCAGGCCATCGGGAGGCGGTGTTTTCCGTGTCATTTTTTTCAATCTCTTTTCCTGCCGAAATTCGAGCAGCCAAATCAAGGGAAAAACTCGAACAACCCGGATTTCCGACTGGCCTCTCGATTTGAGCTTGAAAACTTGGTTACCGAAATTTTCGGGGATCTTTGGGGGATCTTGTTGGATCTCGTCAGTTTGTTGTCATTACCAGTGTGTCACGATGACTGATGTGACGGTTGTTCTCTTCTGTTCAAACGAACGACTTCCAGCGACCTCACTGTGGACATCCCTGCGGCTCATATGCAGTGGTCTCAACTCCTTGCACGACTAAAAACGTCTCTCTAGACGGAGAATCTACAGTGCCGTCCGGCAACTAATTCACGCCACCCGGGCCCTGAATCTAGTCTGGACCCTGAGGATACTGTCGGTTCGGTGCCTGTACTGTGGAACGTAGTTCCTGTTGCATACGACCGAATCCGTCATTTCATGGTCTCACCAAGGAGATAGCACCGCAGACTGCGATAATCTCACAACCTAGGGCCTCCGTCTGTCTCCCGATTTCAATGGAATTCATCTCGCGCTCTTGCTGTCATCATAAATTTAAAGATACCCCAGCTTGGCGTCGTTCTCTGGGATCTCTTCCTATGCATCGTCTCGCTCAACCTTTTCTCTACCGGCCATTCCCGTCATTTTTAGCTCCTGATCTCGTGGCCTTCCCCCCTGCGCTCTTCTACGGGGCTATTGTTAATAATCGTTCGGATATTAAGCACCCCTGGGGTTTTGGTGCCGTTTTTCCGAAAGCTATGCCCAATTGTTTGATCGGCGGCTTCAACGAACTTCGGATTTGAACTACCAGTAGGTGGCTCATCCTTCCGAAGCAAAAATGACTGGTACTTCAGAGTCGCATAAAACTCATGACTTGAATCGCTTAGACGAGTCTGGCTCCTTCTTTGTGGAACAAGTCGCTAGCGAGGTTTCCTCCATACGATGGTGCGACGCGTTAGCCCTGGGCCTCTTCTCAAGCCTCCTGATCAGGCCCTCCCTGTGACTCTTGAGAGTCTCAGAGAGTCATCGGCGACTCATCGCCAAGACTGCTGGAAAACAGGCGTAAGGGGATATGGTTAATTCCCGCAACCGAATATTTGCCCTACGAACTCATGATTGGCCCGCTAAGAGTTGAAGTCTTTGATCCTATCAGTCGCTTAGAGCAAATTTGTTTTGCGTCCACCTCCCGCGACGGCGACACGGCGTTTGTTTCAAGAACGCGCCCTCGTTTTTCACGGCCGCGAATGATGACCAGGTCTGCTTTTGGTGGCGGTTGACGTCGAGTCGGGAACTTCACCCCATTCGTTTCGCCGCGTGGCAATCTCGCTACTCTCGAAACACATGGTGGACCCACAGAGGCACACGCTTACGTGAAGAATAATGTTGGGGAAAATTTACGACACCAAAAATAAGAGGACATCGGCAATGGGCTGAATTTACTGTTCTTCTTCTTCTCGTCCCACATGGCCATCGAAGTGAGTTCTCAGTTTATTCTTGCAATGCTTCCCTCACCACGCTGCCAGTCCGCATCAACGCAGGCCGCACTGACCATCGACTTTCTGATTATGGGCGCGGGTGTTTCCGGCCTTGCATGCGCCATCGCCCTGCAACGAGTCGGCCATAGAGTCGTTATTATAGAGCGGGAGAAGGAGATTGGGGAATCCAACGTACGTCTGCATTATGGACTGATTGTGCAGCGGCACTCACTGCTTTCACTAGGTATCGTGCGGTGCTCAATTGCCGCCCAATCTGTCCAAAATCTTCTACCACTGGAACCTGAAGCAAGAGGTGTACGAATTTGCAGCCAAATCTCAGCAAATCCAAATCTCCCGTTGTATGTCCTGCATTAACCGTTGACACTGCCGTCATTGACCGCCACTCATCAGTGGAAACGGGGGTTCGTCTCGGCACCCATCATTGGGATGAAGAGGTTCTTCGAGAAGCCAGAGGAGAGTTTCTGTTCGCACATGTGAGTGCCAAAGTTGTCTGCTCAGCGTCGACTGAAAAGAAAAAAAATCTCAGCTTTCGGATCTTCGCAAAATGATGTACGATATCGCCATCGGCCAAGGCGCCACGATCCGACTCAATACCACCGCTGTGGCGTTGGACCCTGAGCAACGCGCAGTCACCCTAGATTCCGGCGAAATACTAACAGCCGACGTGATCATTGGGGCTGACGGCGTATTTGGTCTCATGCGCCCGTTATTGTTGGCGGAGCAGAATATTCAGGAGGCAAAAGAACCGGTGATGTGCATGTACAGGTAAACGATCATTATTTTTTCTTTGCATGTTCAACTAACGGCATTGTCCATAGCGCCGTCATACCCAAAGCCTTGGTAGAGAAGGATCCCATATCCAAGAATTTCTATGAGATCGATGTTGTTCGTCGTCTGAAAGCCCAATGCTAGGATCTCATCATTTTTTTAGGTCTCGATGTTCTCTTTCTTCGGGAACAAACAATCTGCCCTCAGCCACCCCACTGTGCGCTTCTTTCTTTCTTGCTGCGATTTCATTTTTAAATATTTGGTAGGGCGGCTCGCCTGCCTTTACATTCTCCTTATATCGTCCCTGGGATGCCTTCTCGGATGTGCCTGCAGATGGGATGCGCGCCGCATTGGAACAAGTGGAACCTAGGCAAGTTGCCCGGGAAATATATATTTTCTCTCGCTAACGACTCTTAGGCTGCGCAACCTTGCTCCAATGATATCGCACCCACGACGCTTCCCGATTTTTGAACATCCAGCTCTCGAGGATTGGGTCGACAAGAGTGGCCGTTTGGTTGTTGTCGGAGCAGGAGCTCACCCGATACCGGTACATCATTTCTTTGATGCAAACGATTCCGGCTAAATTCCCTTAGCCTGGGTCAACGCAATACTATGCCATGGACGTCGAAGACGGTGCTGTCCTCGCGAAACTCTTCTCGCACCTCCAGACGCATAGTCAAATCAGCGACTTCCTCTACGCGTTCCAGGAACTGCGCCAGGCGCGTTGTGAGACGGTTCTCGCCGTGGAAACTGGCATCATCCACTATATGGCCATGCCTAACAGCCCAGACCAAGTGATGCGCGATCGGGCTATGATGGCCAAGTCAGCGGCGGACACTGGTCTGTTCGGTGAGGACAAAGAAGAATCTCACGATCGCGAATGGGCGGAAATCAAGACTGTCTTTGGCTATGACGCGGAGGACGAGTGAGTCGCGAGTTGCACTTGGCTTTCTATGTTGTACTGACCCCGGACACGCAGGGCGGATAACTGGTGGGTGAGTTGGGGACTTTTGAAACAGAGAGCTCTCGAGAGGCAATCGGAGTTCCAAGAATAGTTCCAGCTGGTTGTTTTGTTCGCATTTTTGGACGCCGCCTCCGTACAAGTATGCTCTATTTATTTTCTGTTAATTATGCGTTCCGTTATTGTACTTCACATAATCGCCTCCGCAGGGTACTAATTTCATTTTGTAACGCTATGTAGCCACTACCTCCCAAAACCGCGAACAGAAACACGAGTGTATCAGGTTCAAGTTGAACAATGCCACCTTCAAATTATCAAACCTGGGGATTTCAATAGCCAAAGTTCTTTCACCCCGAGTATACCAAGCGGTTTAAATCGCCGATAGCGAGGGTGAGGCTAGCCGGCACTACCACGACGCTCCGAATTGGTGTAAGAATTGACGTTTAAGCCTATGTTTCTGCCTCTTGTTTGTATCCGGACAAAGGAGGAATTGGTCGAGGGAGGATGACCACGTATTTTTCGAGGGAGTAGACCTCGGGAAGGTCGTTTGCCAGGTGGTTCTTGCCACTAGCCAACCACTAGCCTCAAACTGAGACGGTTTATGATCTCGAGTTTCAAGAGTACTATAACAAGATAAATCTGTGCTCAGTCTGACATGCATTCTGGATTGATCTAAGGCTACAGTATTCGTCATGGTGCGTCAAGAGGCATGAAAAGGCAGTCGAACCAAAGTTGAATGTTCAAGGTGACCATCTGACGATTCTGACCTGATGGGAACTACTCTCGCAGTACCTCTAGCATCTCCGGATTGGTGTAGGGGTTAACATTGCCGCCTTTGGTTTCCGAAATCGTTTTCCAACCGATCTTGAAGAGAAATTAGCCGGAGGAAGACGACCGAGGTAGTTTTTAAAGTGGTCGACCCCGGGAAGATTATTCGAGTTTGTCCAGGAGCAGCAGGTGATCTCGACTTTTGAGAGTAACGAGATGAATCTGTGCTCAGTCTGACATGCATAGTACCTCTGAATTGATATGAGGAGAACAGGATGCGTCGTGGTTTGTCGGGTGGCATGAAAAAAAAGGAGTTGAACCAAGGTCGCGGGACCATCCGACCTGATATGAGATACTCTCGCACTACTTTTAACATCTCCGGATTGGTGTAGGGGTTAACATTGCCGCCTCTCAAATGATTACATAATCATCGCGGCAGCCCGGGGTTCGATTCCCCGATCCGGAATTCTTTTTTCATCTGTTCTTTCTTTTTTTTTTTTTTTCTTTTTCTTTTTGGTACGCATCTTGTTCTCGACAACAGCCGCAAAGGCGGTGAATGACAAGATGTTGCTATCACTCACAACAACGGATGAGTCGATCCAACTTGGACCGCTTTTGACTCAATCGTCGCTAGCCGTCGGCTCCGAAAGCCACCACGTATAAAGGTGGACACCAGGCTGTGTGATCCAAACCATCTTTCCTGAACCACCATGTCCAGCTCGTTGAAATTCTCTGCTCGTGAAAATCGTGCGTAAACTTTGCGCTCCTCTTCGGCATTCACATAACGTCTTCTGTATAGCTATCAAGGGAGTTACGGTTTACAAATCCCGTAAAGCAGAGGTCGTTCGTATCTTTTCACTCGACCTCAAGGTAGCTTGTTTTACTTTCTTTCTGTACCACCTTGTATTCAACCTGAAATCCGAATCGAGTCCGGGAATACCAAAATCGAGATAACTGAGTTGCCGAGTTGCATTGACACTCAATCTGTCCGAGTTTCTGGACTCGGCGATGCTAGGTTATTCGATGTGGTCTGTACCACTGGTAACGGACTAGAAACCCCCAAATCCTCGGAGGCCATCCGCCTTTTGAAAGCTCAGAAGCTTGCCTTGGAGGGTGAGAAGCGCGTCAGAGACCATGAGTCCGACCTTCTCGTCAGCTATGCCAAAACGCTCAAGGGCGAGCATGTCTCACCTACTGCGATGGGCGATTTCTTGGAAAGCTTCGTTTCCCAGGGGCGTAAGAATCTTCAAGCCATCGCGGAACTGGACGAGAAGATTGTCGTCCTTGATCGTCAAATCGAGGTCGAGCTTCAAAAGGAAGCCACCAAGAAGGGCGCGTCCACAGGAGAGGTCACTATCGTTCTGGGAACCGACTCGGAGGCGCACGTCGATATCAAGCTCACCTACAGTACGCATCTCTTTACTACCGTTGCGCCACGCTAACCACTTTGTTGCAGTCGTGAGCAACGCGTCCTGGGAGAGCACCTACGAACTTCATGCTGCGACCGACAACGGAAAGCCCTCCCCGTCGGTTTCCCTGCATTACCGTGCCCGTATCACGCAAAGCACTGGCGAAGATTGGACCGACACTGCCTTGACTCTAAGCACCGTCGCTGCGTCCACGATTGCGAAAAGTATTCCCTGGCTCAATGCGATCAAGATCAGACCCCAAAGCCATCGGGGCACAGGCTTATTTGGCCAAAAACCGGCCAACAACAACGCGCCGCTCTTTGGGCAACCAGCATTTGTGCAGCCCCAGATTGCTCGGGGCTCCGGCGCCTTTGGGCAGATGCCGGTGCAGCAGCAGCAGGCGATGCAGCAGCAGCAGCAGTTGCCTCTTGGTGGCTCCGCCTTTGGGCTGCAGCCGGCGCAGCCGCAGCAGCCCAGCGGCTTCTCCTTCGGACAGCAGACGGTGCAACAGCAACAGCAGCAATCCCTCTTTGGTGGTTCCGCCCCACCTCAACAACAGCCGTCTTCATTGTTCGGCACCTCCACCACCTCTAGTGTTCTCGAGCCGGGCGGCGGCCTGGAGTTCGAAGGTGAAGACTTTGAGGACATCGCCGTACCAAACGCCATGTCTGCGCCCACGACCATCGTCACAGAGACGCCCCTCGCCATCTCCTACGCAGTCGAGGGAGCCACTACTGTTCCGAGCGACGGAACCGTGCACCAGGTTTCCGTCGCGGTGCTGCCCTTCGAGGCCAAGATCTCTCACATCTGCACCCCGCGCGTCGACCCGCGCGTGTATCTGCAGTGTCACGTCAAGAACACAAGCGAGTATCGCCTGCTCCCCGGGCCCGTCAGCGTCGTGCTCAACGACGGCTTTGTGTCGAAAACCTCTATCACCGTGCGTCTTCTCTTCCCTTGCCTCGCTTCTCCCCGTGTCGTCAACTCAACATCCCCCAGGAAATCAACACAAACGACACCTTCACCTGCACGCTGGGCGACGACGTCGCGACCAAGGTCACGTACGCGCGCAGCTCCAAGACCGTCACCTCGCAGGGCGGGTCTTTCCAGGAGGTATTCAACACGACGACGTACAACACTAAGATCACGATCCACAACAAGCACCCGTTCGCGCTCACGGACCTCGTCGTGCGCGACATCATCCCGACGTGCGACGACAAGCGCGCGAAGGTGCTCCTGCGCAAGCCGGAGGGGCTCGCGGACGCGAAGGACGGCGAGGTCGTCAAGCTCGCGCCACCCGGGCTCAAGGTGATGTGGGGCAAGACGTGGGACGGGCGCGCCGCCGAGAAGGATGGGCGCTTCGAGTGGGCGTGGAGCGTTGATGGCGGCGCCAAGGCCGTCCTCGAGGCAGAATGGGAGCTCAAGGCCCCCACCGACGTTGTCTGGGTCGAGTCTGTCGCCCCAAGCCTTTAGCGGGCTCACATTTCACGACTTACTGTACACTTTCATTGTTACTACATACTACCCTCATTCCCCTCATGTACTTGACACGACCATCACACAATACCATCGCTTCGAATTGCGCATTGACCGAAATCCTGGGTGATTGAATTAAGACTGGCTAAACGACCAAGCACATCACAAACCTGTTTAGTAAACCCTTCAGGCTTGGGTAGAATATCCTGGCGAGAAACGCCATAAGCATAACACAGACTAAGAAGAAGGAATCGTACATGAGAGAAGATTCCGGTGGGTATCGCCAGCGTCACGCAGGCGTTAGGGGAGTCCTAGGTGAATCATGAGAGGTGCTGGAAGACCGAGAAAGAAAGACATACGACCAAGGCCCCTACGTGGCTTTCGACCGGAGCTGCAGAAAGCAAGAGGTCTGAGGATCGGTCAGCGATTTCGCAGTGCGAAGAACACTAGATCACGAACAGGCTTGCTCTCGGGCTGGCAGTCGATGATCAGGCTGACCGTCCAGAAGTTATGGGCATTAAGACGCACTATAGCCAATCTATTACAGTGGTCAGAATCAGAATGTGTCTTTTGAATGGACCCGTACCTTCATCAAGTACGCAATGGCATTGAGCGCAGCTTGCTTGTACGCCACCGTGCTGCAAGACCGGTAAATGACCTGGATTCAAACGAAGCTACCCGCGTACGCATCCATATTGTACTGCTTTCCGTCTCCATCTACGGATCTTTGAGAGCAGTCGGAGAATAGAGAGCGTTGTACGCACGATAATCAACACTGATTCCTTCGAAGATAACCTGGAAGGGACGGGTGTTAGTTGTGAAGATCAACTGCCGTCGAAACAGCACCTTGGATGAATAGAGAGGGTCGATGGGCGAAGGTAAGAAGATTGGCTGTTTCAAAGCGAACTTTTCGACACCGCCCTTGATAATACTCGTGCTAAAGGTGATGACTCCAGCCTGCGCAGCCTAGGTTAGAAAAAAAGATAGAAACATCCATTAAATACACACCATTTCGATAGCCCCGCAGAATGACAGCTACAATTGGCGTTGAGGAGCAAAAGCGCAAGACAAAGGCTGGACATGCCTCTCCCTGCAGAGTCGTTAGCCAAACTCCACAGCCACGACAGAGCATCGCGCTTACATCTCCTTGAGAAAAGTGAAGATCTCCGACAGACAGATTTGCGCCCTTGATGAAGACGGGGAAGTAACAGCGAGACCCTCTCGACAGGTTCTTAATCTACCGCAAGAAGTGAGCGGTGCATCCCCTTTGTCGATATAAGGACATACATCGCAGTTTCCACCATGCTCACGCCCAGGGATCGTCCGCGCACCCTCCTCGGCGATCTTCTGCCTGACCTTGTCGTCGAGGTCCTGCCCAACGTACGCGCCCACCGCGTTTGGCGCAAACGCGACCGCGGGGACGGCGTTGGGATGCTGGGCGATTAGCTCGCCTTCGCGTTTGTTCCAGGTCGCGAGCAGTTCCGCGGACGGCGCTGTACCGATCAGGCCGGGGTGGGAGACGCCAGCGAAGCGCACGCCGGGAATGTGGCGCGACGAGGCGTAGATTCCTGCGAGCCGTGAGCATTGGGGACGCGGGGATGTATATCGAGTCTGAATCACCGTGGAAATCCCAGATGGCTTTGGCTGCCTTGCTGTCGAATTCGCGGGCTAAGAGGGGTCAGATTTCTGCAAGGCAAAAAAGTGTAGATTCTCACCAAATAGCCCCCCACCGTTGTTTAGCTCGAAGATGCCCTGCATATGGTCAGCCGGTTTGGCAGTAGAGACCTCGAGACACGCGTACAGTGTATCCCCAAGGCATCTTCTCAAACGGTGCCACGTCGAGAATATCCACGACGAGGCAGTCACCGGGTTCAGCACCTTCCACGGCGATAGGCCCGGAGAGGTTGTGCACTTTGGTTAGGTCGACGTTCTTGATGTCGTCGCTGTCTATATCGCGTATCAGTACGATGTGAATACCAGAGAGCACCACCCACTATCATTGTTGCCGATTTGCGCGCCGGTCCAGTCTTTCGGTACGCATATGTAAGTAGGTGTCAGGACGGAAAGCCAATCGACGAGACGCACCGACACATTCGATTTTGAACACCTAGAGAACAAATAAGGAGAAGGGGATAGGCGCAGTGCAGTGGGACTCGCCTCTCCAGGTTTGACAGTCGCAAAAGGCGGGATATCAGGGCTAAGAAGAGTCTAGCGTATGATCAAATGGGCAGTTTCATACATGCTCACTGCCAACGATTGTGGATTCCCTGCACAGTATCCAGTGACTCGTCCACAACCACAATGCTCGGAACGTACCTTCTGCTGGTCCGCAGGACTTGAGCCTCGTTAGATAAGCCCGAGCTCGATTGATGTCCATTCACTCACATGAAGGGGTCAACCTAGACCCCCAACGATCAACGAGGGCAACGCGGCGAGCAAGGCGCACATACCTGGATCAGCGTAGGGTGAGGAATCGAGTTCGCTTGCGTCGCCATGAAGTCCAAAAGAGAGGAGATATCTGGAGGCCTGAGAAACGGAGCAGATAAGGAAGAAGACGTGTGAGCATAATTCTTCTTCTTGAAGG